TCATTGTTGGAACAAAGGCTTAATTCTATAAGTAGTTAAAATAGTAATTAAAAAATAAGGGTTTTTAAAACATAATTTCTAAAAATGAATTCATACAATAAGCTTCCAAAATTTTCTTGCCAACTGTGATTCTTGTTAAAGACAGAATTTTCTCCTGAGTCACATATTTATAATGAGGAACTTCTTTTTTAAAAAAAAATGCATAATTATATTTTGAAGACTGTGATTTGCATCTCATAACACGTCATTTGCTGCTTATTACTTTCCCAAAATAAAGTCCCACAGTGGCTCTGAAAGAGATGGTGCCTGCAAATATTGTTCAAATGTTCCTCCTCAAGGCCAGTGAGGAGAACTGCACCCTTCTATCTGTACTAGGATCTCTTCCCAGGGAAAATTCTGTATTCAGAACCCCGGGAAATTACTGCCATACTAACAGACTCCTAAAGAATATCACCGTTTCTTTTTGTAAATTTTTTCAGGAGTTCTAAAAATTCCTGTGCCATCTCTACTAACAACACTGCTCAGCACGAGTTCTAAAAATTCCTGTGCCATCTCTACTAACAACACTGCTCAGCACTCAACGTTTTCCACTGCCACAGCTCACAACTTTCCTGTGGAGGCGATAAGTATTGTCATCTCTGTTTGGCATGGGAAGAATAACAATGACAACAAGTAGATCCCATTTCCCCAAATGTTAAGTAAAGACTAATTTACTCAAGGCACAGATAGATCTTCTGTGCTTTACTAAGTGAAATCTGAAGACTAAATAATTTTCAGATCCCAGACCGAGTCACTGGCAGATTTGGGAACAAAATTCAGTCCTCCTGACTCCCTACAATAAACCATGGTTTTCCATGTTATGAGTTAACAATCATTAACTAAATGACAAAGGTTTTGCTATTCTTGGTGTAGTGCCCTTCTTTGCATTTCAGAGGAATTACTGGGCTCTTAAATTGGCTGTCAAATTTGCTGACTTGATACCTGGCTGGTTTTCAAAATATATATTAAAAGTCTTGCCTTTCCTGGCTATTTCTTCAATAAAACTTTTTTTTTTTAATAGAATAAATTTTGCGATCTCATTTATAAAATTAAAGTCAACAGAAAAAAAATTACAAATCTTATCAGTCACACTGTACCCACTACTAAGAAAATACATGCAAAGGCAGCAGGACCCAGCAGGAAGGGCACTGAACTAAGAAACCGATGCCAAAAATTCCCATTTCCTTAAAGAATGTCATGCTTTCAGCTTCTGGGAGCATTTTACTTCTAGGTCTTCCAGAACTCTGTAATCTCAGTTTCTCTCTCAGTCGGTTTCAAAATGTGTACATAATTATTACTTTGTGTCCTTATCTCCAGAAGGATTTTTAACGCCAATAAATTAAACTAATTACAGCTAGATTCCAAGGTCCTATCCATATGGAAGACTCTACAAGTGCACAGATTCTAAGCTCTAATTATCCTTTAAGTATTGCACACTGAATCACATGCCTTGATCCACCTCATGTAACAGAATTAACTTCCAGACAGACTCTGGGTTAGAGCAGCAATGACAAGATAATTGGCCTTTAAGTTAAATACACCCCATAGACTGCAGTTGTAGCTCATACTAGAAAGGCTGGATCACTTCTTATAATCAGCTGCTTATACAGTTTATTTTTTATCTTGGTCTTTATGCTTTTATTCCATTCCTTTATAGGTTTTTCACCTCCACAGGTGGCAGTGTGGACTCTCATGTCAGATCATACCAGAGGTGTGACTGTGGCAACAGTAACTATGCCGTCAACTTTCTTTTGTCCTGTTTAATCGACTGGTCATTTAGGGACCTACAAAAACCAGCTTGGCCAGAGGAACAGAGAAACTCGACAAACAAATATCTTCTATTCAAATATCAGATTCACAAAAGCTTTTTTTTTATTCCTAATTACGTGTAAAAAATCTGGAAGAAGCCTTCCAATTGGAATATCTTTACATGTCACAGACTTCTGTTATTAAACTGCACTCGTTGCTAAGGAAGAAGAGAGGAGATCAAAGGACTTCTAACAAGTAGAAACCCAAAGGTGAGGGAGTTTCAATTTCTTTCTCATTCTTTAAAGATTTATCTCTGAACTACAACAGTTGTTGTTCATAGTTCTGTGAAAAGAAAGAAACTACCTGAGCCTGCCTTGCTACTTCCTATTTACCTTCCCAATTCACTCTTGGATTAGCAGCATGATGGTGCAGTCAAGCACCCTGTTTGCAAACCCATATGCAATCCAAGTCCTGAGGACTAAAAAGGAAGAGCTGGTGGAAGGCATAAGGGACCCAGACCAGCTCCTGCACTCACAGACAATGGGATTTTTACTCCAGAAAAAGGTATTCCTAAGACTATAACAATTATTAACTATTTTTCTTTCTATCTTTCATCCTACCATTTGTCTAGATTTTGCTTTTTCAAGTCGAGATAACAAAAACCATCACATTTGCTCTTTATTAATTTCACTTACAAACTCACTCCAGCACAAAGAGGAAATGTTCAGAATAAAAAGGCTGCAACAGACTTTATTGACTTGAAATATTTGTATTGAGATGACAATACAAATATAAACAGAAACACTTTTTTGAGTGGACGGTAATGATAATCAACTCTTCCCTTCGGTATATGATTAAAAGCCCAGATACCACAAACACCAAAATATTTCTTGTGAAACGAAACACAGATTTAAGAATGAATGGGAACAAAACTGTGATTTTTTGGCATCCATAATACAACACCTTAACTTGACCCACACAACACCCTGTGCTGTCATCTCTAGATGAAGGAACAGACATGACCACATGCTTGAAGGACAAAGGGATGTATGGCCTGTGCAGGCCTCCAGAATCACAGAATTTATGTAGGGTGGAAAAGACCTCCAAGATCATTGAGTCCAACCTTTGATTACCATGTCAACCAGACCAGCACTCTGAATGCCACATCCAGTCGTCCCTTGAACACCTCCAGGGGCAGGGACTCCACCACCTCCCTGGGCAGCCTGTTCCAATGCCTGACCACCTTCTCCGTGAAGAATTTTCCCCTAATATACAATCTAAACCTTCCCTGGCACAACTTAAGGCCATTTTCTCTCATCCTATCCCTTGTTCCCTAGGAGCAGAGCCTCATCCCCCAGGTGGCTTCACCCTCCTGTCAGGGACTTGGAGAGAGCGAGAAGGTCCCCCCTGAGCCTCCTTTTCTCCATGCGGAGCCCCCCCCAGATGCTCCCGATGCTCCAGACCCTTCCCCAGCTCTGGACTCGCTCCAGCCCCTCCACGTCCTTCTCGCAGTGAGGTGCCCAGACCCACACCCAGCACTCGGGGTGCCCCTCACCAGGGTGGGCTCCGGTTCCAGGCTCCCGCTGTCGCATCCCGCGCTGCCCCTCAGCCCCTGCCTGACCGTCACCCCTTCACTCACAGCCCGGAGTGACCCTCAGAGCCCGGCCACGCTCCGTCAGTTCCCGGCCATGCCCCCTCACAGCCCGGCCTTGTCCCTCAGTTCTCGGCCATGCCCCCTCACACGCCGGCCATGTCCCCTCAGCTGGGCCATGTCCCCTCAGCCCGGCTATGTCCCCTCAGCTGGGTCATGTCCCCTCAGCCGGCCATGTCCCCTCAGCCCAGCTATGTCCCCTCACAGCCCGGCCATGTCCCTCAGCTAGGCCGTGTCCCCTCAGCGCATCCATGCCCCCTTACAGCCCGGTCCTGTCCCTCAGCTTCCCGCCCGCTCCAGCCGCCCCGCGCTCCGCCTACCCCAGCGCCATGTCCGGCTCCGCCCGGCCGCTCCTCATCGCTCCGTGCCCGCCCATCGCCGCCGTCGGGCCGCCCCTTCCCGCGATAGCGCCGTCCCGGTGTCATGGCGGCGGCGCGAGGAGCCCCGAGGTGGACATCGAGGGGACCCGGGGGCCCCCGCCGGGGTGAGTGGGGTCCCTTGCTGGGGCTCCGGGAGCGCTGGCCGTCGCCCTGCGCCGGCGGGGGTCGCGGGGTGGCGGCCGCTCCTGAGGGGGCGGCCCTGGCCGGGCGCTTCCCGCCGCTCCGGGGAGAGACCTTGGAGTGTCATGGAGTGCCTGTGGAGAGGGGGCAGCGCCGGTGTGGAGCATCGTCAGGCAGGGCAGAGGGAACGGGGCCGTGGGAGCACTGGTGTGAGGAGAACACGGAACTGCTGCCAACGGATCCCCCAGAGCTCGGAACAGCGCCCGGAGGCTGCTGGGAGAATCCTTAAAAATACACACGGAGAAGGTGCTTGGTTGTGTAACTGTGTTCGCGAACTGGCGGAGGCAGAGAGGGTCAGAGAGCTGAACGCCGGGAGGGAGGTGCAAAAAACAGTCATAGAATCATAGAACGTAAAGGGGTTGGAATGGACCTTAAAGATCATCCAGTTCTACTCCTGCCGTGGGCAGGGACACTTCCCACTAGACCAGGTTGCTCAAGGCTTTATCTAGGCTAGCTTTGAACACTGCCCGTAGTGGGGCATCCAAACCTTTTTTGGGCAAGCTGTGCCAGTGTCTCACCAACCTCACAGGAAAATATTTCTTCGTGATATCTAACGTAAATTTCCCCTCTTTCAGTCTGTACCCATTTCTCTCTGTGCTGTCACTACAGTTCCTGATGGAGAATCCCTCTCCAGCTTCCCTGTAGGCCTCTTCAGGTACTGTGAGACTGCTGTGAGGTGTCCACACAACCTTCTTTTCTCCAGGTCAAACAGCCCCAAGTTTCCCAGCCTATCTCCATAGGGCAGGTGCTCCAGTCTTCTCACCAACTTCACGGCCTCCTCCGGATTTGCTCCAACAGTTCCATATCCTCCTTATGTTGGGGACCCCAGAGCTGGATGCAGCACTCCAGGTGGGATCACAAGAGCAGAGCAGAGGGGCAGAATCACCTTCAACCTGCTGGCTGTGGTCCTTTGGATGCAGCCCAGGGTTGAGTTGGCTTTCTGGGCTTCAGCAAATTCATGGATAAGGGATGGTGAAGTGGGCAGAGACTGTAACACCTCAAATGGAGCACCTGCAGGTGCTGGAAGAGAACAAGAGGTTTGTAGCAGAGACTTGCTGTCCTAGAGCAGCACCTGCCACTGCTGCACACAGGCTGCTGGGCAAAGGGGATGTTGATCCCACCCTGTCCTTGGTGTGCTCCAAAAGAAGCAGGAATTGTGTAGGCTTCTGACTGTACATGGAGATTTATTCTTTATCCTGTAAAGAGATGTTTGAGATGCTGGCACAAAGCATTTCAGAATAGTAAATGAGTTTAAATTAGTAGCACTGCAGGGGATATAGGGCTAATTAGTCATTAGAACTGTCTGAATGCTCTGGAAGTAAAGATTTTTTTAAACAACTAATTACTTGCGTTACTAAGCAGATTTTATGCTGCATGAAAATGAAAGGAAGTTGATCAATGATGTTAATCAGTGACAGATCTCTAATAAGTAGTTATTTACAGAAAAGATCAAGCATAAACTGAATTAATTCTGTAAGAGTACTAGATTAGATAGTGGGAAGAAATTCTTCCCTGTGAGGGTGTTGAGGCCCTGGCACAGGTTGCCCGGAGAAGCTGTGGCTGCCCCATCCCTGGAAATGTCCAAGGCCAGGTTGGATGGGGCTTGGAGTAACCTGGTCTGGTGGAAGGTGTCCCTGCCAATGAGATAATCATTAAGGTCCCTTCCAACCCAAACCATTCCATGATACTAACAGCCCTGTACAATTAACCCTTGTGTAAGTATGAGCTTTCCTTGGCAGGAAAACAAGTTTGTCTTTACAAGAAGGTGGTTTTACCATATTGGGGGAAACATGTAGAAATGTTAAGTGGAGATAACAGAACTCAATGACACTTTTAATATTAAACTACAGTTGTCTTGCACAATGGAATCTCTTTCAGAGATCATGAAAACCCAGCATCAAGCCTGCTGCAGGATCACTATCTCGATTCATCTTGGAGAACTGGCAACAGTCTTGTAAGTATTTTTTAAATGAGTGGTGCTTTTAGGTTATCACAGCTGCTGTGTGCTCTTCCCTCCATGTACATGCTCTTTAGGTTTTTAACCAGGGCTTTTTCCTTACTTTTAGAAAGTGTTATATATTTATTCTGGGGAATTCAGATATTAAAACGCAGTTGTGTTGTTTGCAGCCCTGGACATTGGACAGCAGCATTAGTGAAGAAAACAGGGCTGTCATTGAGAAGATGTTGCTGGAAGAAGAGTATCCTTTTGCTGATTTGGTTTCATGTTTTCCTGTAGAAAAACAGAAAACTTCCTATTTCCAAAGGAACTGCACTAATCTTTTCCTGTTAAGATGACTGAAGCCCTGCCACCTTGTAGGTAGATTGAAGAAATACTGCTGCAGAAACTGCAGCGTTTGTTTCTACGACTGGGTAATTCTGAACCAGTATAATTTATATGATTTTTAGAATTCTCACATGTACAAATATCCCTGATGCTTTAAAAAGTTACTTAGCAATATTTCAGGTATTATTTATCTAATAAATCACTTTCTGAAAAAATATGGCTCAACCAAAAGGAAGTGGAGAAAAGATCTGTGAAAAGGTAAGATGTGCTTGGGAAAAATTAGATGAGAAGGAATGAAAAGTTCTCCTAAAGAAGGGTTTTTTACTGAGATATGCAACAGCATCACAATTGCTAATTTTTATTTTCACTCTGTTTTTTATTTGCAGCCCTCATAAGAAGACTGGAAAAGTCATGTACGTACATTTTAACGATTGAGTTGCATTTTTAAATGTGGTGTCTGATTTAAGTTCAGTTACTAGAAACTGTTTAAAAAAAAAAAAGAAGTTACAGTTCCTTAGTTCCTTTTGTTTGGCTGTGCAAAATTATGTAAGAGAACTTTCAACAGGAAGAAATGCTGTGTATGATAATAGCCTCATGGTAAAATAGGGGAGTGGGGTTTTTTTTTGTTGCCCAGTGGTCCTTATGAAAAAAAATTGTTAATTCTAGTTGGCTTTTTTGCCTGAACTTTTCTGTTTGCTGCTTTTATTTATTTCTGTACCGTTAGTCACTGATGAATATTGAGTTACCTTGAACCTTCCTTTGTGGTGGGGAAGCTGATTCTCAGTATTTTATTTATCATGTTTATAAACTCATGTTTAAAACAATACTTTGAGTTTTACCAAAGAAGGGGAGTAGTTCCCCTGTCAGAAGGTACTTGAGTTACTGGAGTTGGAGGATTAAATGTTTTTAGGAAAGCACCAACTTTTGCTTCCTGCTTTCCTAGGGTCCGGTCACCTGCAAAACCACCTGGCTGCTCCCTGAAGTGGACATTGGAGGAAAAAGAGCTGTTTGAACAAGGACTGGTGAGTTTGTTTATAGATGCAATATTTTTAATTGAATTAATTTATTTATTCTAAATAAGAGAATAGTTAATATGAATAAGCATGATATGGTTCTTCTAAGGCTTCTGCTTTTTTTTCTTCTAACATGTTAAAAGTAATTGCCATCTACCAAGAGTGTAATGATAACCCAAAATGGTTTTCTTTACCAGATTTTGTTCATGTGATGCTGATTACAATTTGAGAGCACAAAATACCTCAACTACTCAGCATTATGAGTTGCACAGTCACAATACTGTTCTTAACTATTGGAAGTGTGGTGTGTTTTTAAGGCAAATAAAGTGAAATCCTTTAACTACTGTTGTAAGGTCTTCAGAGATTATATGTAATATAATGTAATAGGGTTTGCTTGCCAAGCACAGTAGAATTCCTTGGGATAGCAGGCAGCATAATTTACAGAGTGCCTGAAGAGGGTGAAGAAGATGCTCTAGTTAAGGAGAATAACAATAGTTCTTACTGTTGGATGTCATTTTCTTTCTGGTAGGACATGAATAGTGAGGTTCTTTACCATAAGTTTGCTGTACTGTTTGTGCATTTGAGTGAACAATTGAGGTTTTAAACTCTCTTGGCATGTGAAGTGCAATGTCTGGAATGTCAGAGTTTGGGTGACTTCAGTGTGCTTTGTTGTGTCAGGTGAAATTTGGCCGCCGGTGGACGAAAATCGCCAAGTTGATCGGGAGTCGAACTGTCCTACAGGTCAAGAGCTATGCTCGGCAGTACTTCAGGAACAAGGTAAATGGAGGATCTCTGGAGCTGGCAAAAAGGCTGTTTGCCAAGTGTGGTGTTGCATGTACAGCTTGCTTTTAATCTGTCCTTTCAGGGCACTTGCTGGCAAAGCACATACTCTGTTTATTCCCATATTCAGAAAAGTGGAATATGCTTATTTGCAGATTTAAAATAATTCAGACCTGATTTCAAATTCCTAGAATAACCTGTATTTTTATTGCTGGTATAACTAAACAAAAAATGTAGTATAATTGTGGCCTCTTACACTGTTTGTCATTAGTATGAAAATTAGTTTCCACTACACAGCTGTCCTTGCTGTCTGTTGTAGTTTTAGCCTTAACCTCACTTGAGATTTCGGGGACATTTAGGGAAGAGATAACTATTCTCTAGGATTCTGTGACTGGAAATACATGTTAATTGACACTTGGGCTAAATTATACCTTTAATGCTGTGCCAAAGTCAGTTGCAGTGGATTAAACTATATTAAAAGGGTAAGATAAGGAAGAAACGCTTCAGAATATCTGCTGTTCAAATGAAATAGTTCTGATTATTTGGGAGGCAGATGGGATTGTTTTGTTTTTCTCTTCTTAAAGTATCTGATATTTTCCTAAGGCAAAAAATGGTGATTCTGAAAAAGAAGAGCAAAGTCAGCAAGGGAGCAGTGTTCCCATGGAAGATGGGATAAGGGTGGAAACTGGAAATTTGAGAGGCCGTGCAGACCCTAATCTGAATGCAGTGAAAATTGAAAAGCTGTCAGATGATGAAGAAGTAGACATAACTGATGACATGGATGAGCTACTCTCTCCTAGCTTCCAGCAAGAAACTGGAAAATGTGAATTATCTGTTATTCCAAAAAGTCCAGTTGAAGAAACAAAAGGAATGGAACACGGTTTGTCATCTGCTGGACACAGTTCTGCAATTGCTTTGCCTAAAGAAGATCCTCAGCAGACCAGGCAGGATACAGTGGATGCCTTGGTATTTCCTGCTGTGGCAGCAACGTGTTCCCAGCACCTGAATGGTGATAAATCTTTGAGTTTAGATTTCCAGCAGTACAATAATTATATTGAGAGAGCTGAACAAGGAGGAGCAGTAACATCTCTTGGTACTGGACAAGCGACTGCTCAGGAGCCCAGTGAGGAGCAAAGAAACCCGGCTGACAATGGATTGCTTTTTCCTTCCCCCTGCCAAGCGGATGAAGATCATCAAGAAGAAGCAGAGGAGCTGAAGCCCCCTGATCAAGAAGTGGAGGTTGACAGGAGCATCATTCTGGAGGAGGAAAAGCAGGCTATTCCCGAGTTCTTTGAAGGGCGCCAGGCCAAAACACCGGAGCGTTACTTGAAAATCAGGAATTATATTTTGGATCAATGGTAAGATGCATTGATTTCTTTTACTGAAATAAGTGATTAAGGTGTCCTGGTTTGTTGTAGTTAAAACACTACTTAGTACTAGCAGCTTCTGAAAAGAGTAAAATTATTGTATGGCAGCTTGCCAGTGAACAGCATTCATTATTAATGCTTCTTTTGCATCTTCCCATTTTTTTCCTGGCATTCTGGAAGCTAAGCAATGAACATACTTTGAAGCATTATGAAAATTAGTGTCCTGTATCAGAACAAGCTGCATGCATTTGAGTTATGTTATTTTCTTCCAACTTTTGCCATCCTATGTGTAAGAAGGGTTTTAATAAGTGGTTCCTTGAAATAAATAACTGGTGACATTAACTCTGTGATGAGGTCTGCAGCATTGGGGCACTGCCTTTACAGAAGGGCAGCAAGAAGTCTGTGCTGGAACAAATGATGCTGAGCAAAAGAATGCCTCTAAGTAAGTATCAATTTGGTGTAGTGCTTGCACACTTGAATATTTTTTATTCCATCTCTAAAGAGCTGGTGTAAGGAACCCCAGGGATTTGTGGCAGCAGGCTCAAGATACAGTTTGTCTTGTTTCCATTTTGGTTTGTGTGGTCACTCTGTTGCTTAGCTTGCTTTTAAGTAGAAATAATTACTGAGTTTAACTCAGACTCCACTCAGTTGTCTTGTGTACTGTCAGCTTGTTGTGGGTGAAAGAAAGACTAAAGTTCCATGTTCAGAGAAGTGTGGAACTGAAAAGGTTCAGTGTCAGTTTAAAAGGAAGCAATAAGTGCATAGAGAGTGAAAACAGGACCTCAGTTAAAGTCACACAATTCCTTCCTCCCCCCATGATTTGTTCTGCTGTCTGACAACGTGCTGGATTTGATTTTAGGGAGAGATGTAAACCCAAGTACCTGAACAAGACCTCGGTGCGTCCGGGCCTGAAGAACTGCGGTGACGTCAACTGCATTGGCCGGATCCACACCTACCTGGAACTCATAGGGGCCATTAACTTCGGCTGTGGTAGGGATATTTCTGTGGGGACCAAGAAATAGCCTCTTTTGGGGTAATGCCGAAGGACTACCTAATGTTAGGGTGCACTGCTCACCCAGGGGATACACAACTATCCTTGCTAGGAAGGACTTTCTGAGCAGATTGTCTCTCACAACCTTGGAAAATCTGGAGGAGTTTGTAACCTGCTTACAGGATTATGGATTTTTTGTTTTATACAAAACCTTTTTATTTTTTCTTTATTTTTTTTGCATTCCCTCATGTTTAACCATACATGAGCTGGTGGACTGGTTGTTTTGTTTTGTGCTTTTCTGTGTGTCTAGGGTTGGATTATTTTTTTTTTCCTGATAACCTACTGTATCTGAAATTCTACCCTCCTTCCTTATAAGACAAAATTCAAGTTATTGTTACTTTTCCCACACTGAATGATAACTGTTTCCTGAATAAACATCAGTGTCTTCATCCTCAGGGCTAGTTTTTAAACGATTCAAATGTTAAAATCAGGTGACATTTAAAGTGTATATACACGTGGAACTTGGTGTTGTTTTAGAGTCTCTGGATGGATTTTGGTCCAAAGCTGAACGACAGTCACCTGAGAGAGGACCAATGTCTTGCAAATACCTTTTGTCTGAAGTAAAGTTATGTAAAATAACAGAATTATAACCAACAAGAGATGTCTCTTTACTCTAGGGGTTTTTTTGTTGCCTTTTCCATGATGGCATTTGCCATTCCCACTCACCCCTGTCCTCCTGTCTGTGTAGCAGTGCTGAGTGTCTCCCACTCACCCCTGTCCTCCCTGTCTGTGTAGCAGTGCTGAGTGCCTCCGTGCTTTGCTGACGTGCAGTGTCTCCCTTGTGTCTCCTGCAGAGCAGGCCGTGTACAACCGGCCCCAGGCTGCCGACAGGACGCGCTCCCGGGAAGGCAAGGACACGGTGGAAGCCTATCACGATCCCGGGAAGGCAGGGACACGGTGGAAGCCTATCAGCTCGCACAGCGCCTGCAGTCCATGGTGCGGCCTGGGGGGGAGCCGGGGGGCAGCACGAATGGGGAGAGTCTGTCCAGCTTTCATAGTGAAGTGTTTTGCAGTGGGTGATTAAGTTGCTTGCATTTTAGCTGTTAAATAGAGTAGGATATGAGAGCCTTATGCACACAATTAAGTGCAGTAGTAACTACATGAATTACCAAGGGTTCCCAGAGTAAATTTTCGTATTCACTTGTAATACAGAGTTTTTAAGTACTTCACAGCAAAATACATCAGTTGATGAGAGGAAACACAAAATCAATCCCACTAAAAATATAATAAATTGAAATATAAAGAGCTGTAGCATCCACTGGATGTAAACATCCTTGTTTTATAGTTCTGTGCATTGTCTGAGCTAGAATTCAGGGCTGGATAACAGTGCCCTGTTGCTGTCAGGGGTGCTGAGCTTCCTCGGAACACCAACAGGCTTTACTGCCTTACAATGCGAAAACTCCACTGATGATATTTCGTGACAGTCTACAGAACTCCAGGGTGTTGGTAACATCCCTGTGGCAGTACCCTTTTGGACACTGTCCTTGGGGCTGCCCAGCTGAAGTAAATGCAGTTTTTGCAGGGTGAGAGCCCTGACTCTTGGTGATTTCTTGCCACAGCGCACAAGAAGGCGGCGAGTGCGAGACCCCTGGGGAAACTGGTGTGATGCCAAGGATTTGGAAGGACAGACATTCGAGGTGACCCTTCTGTGTTTTTAACTTTCCTTAGTTCTTGCTGATTGCTGGCAGGTGGTGTTGCATCAAACAGACAAGGGAACAGTTGTGTCATAGGGACTTAACCTCTCTGTGGAAGCAGTAATTTGAAAGTAATGCAGCAGCTGGTACATCTTTGTGCTGCTGATAATTAAAGTTGGTGTTTGCACAGGGGTTTTATGCCCCTAAAGCTCTTTGCCTTATCTTGTAGGAGATTTCATGATCCATTGCTTTTGAGTTAACTGCCTTAAAGCAAATGGTAAGGGATGGGAGAATACCATTTAAATGTTATTTTTTCAGTCCTGTATGGTTTCTTTGTGCTCATTATGCAGGTGATAATGAGTTCCTAATATTAATTCTGCTACTAGCAATATCCCCAGAAATTCTGTGGTTTATGAAGTGCTTTAAAAATTCATATGAGTTTAAATATTTTATGGGAGAATTGGAATGAAAATACTTGTCCATTCCTACAATTTCAGATTATGTGAAAAGGGAAGAACATCTATTTTTCTTGTATAGAAAACCTTCTTAATTTGCAACCTTTAGTAATTACCTGTAACAATTACTTCCATAATGCTATTTTTGATTAACTGAGATTAATAATTTGAACACTTCTTGCAAAATACGTATTTGGATGGAAAAAAAGGTTGAAAACACTCATCCCTAAAGAGGGGTTGTGATAAGTTCTGAGCATGGTTTGTACTGGCAGATTATCACACTTGGATTTACACCAGGTTTGTGATGTGATTTTACTGAATTTGATTGATTTCATATGAGAATTCTCTCATCAGACATCCTGTGGGCTTGGTCTCCGGTTGTCACTCCTTCCACACTGCCTGGTTCATGGCTATTGCCTCTGCCATCAGTAGTTCTGTAACACACAAATTATATCAAGAGGACAATGATATCAAGAATTGATTTTGGGCTGGTTTTGCAATCCCTGCTGAAGCAGCACTTCAGACATTAAGACATTTCATTTTTTGTTGAACCCTCTTAGCATCTCTCAGCTGAAGAATTAGCAAGAAGGAGAGAGGAAGAAAAACTGAAACCTGCAAAATCTTCCAAAGGTTCGAGACAACCCAAAAGGTATTACCAGATGTGCATCATGTTCAAACACAGCTCTGCCAGAGATGGAACAAATGTCTTGTGTCAGGCTGGAAAGGTGCAAAGCGTTAGCGCGTGTCACGGTCTGAAATAGCCTGGATGCGTTTCACATGTTGCCTGTTGCAATTCACGAGTGTGGGGAGTGATGTTTCTGTATTTGGTGGAAGTCATCCTAGTGTGGGATGAGAAAATCCAGTGAAGAACACAAGGTTATTCCTCCCCAGCTGAGGTGACAGTGGGAAAGTTGAAAAGTTTCCTGACTGTCCTACATCTTTAGAGAAATTTTCTTTCATTTTATAGTTCCTTTGATCCCTTTCAGCTGATACCCTGCTGTCTGTTCACGGAGGAGAAGCAGGTATGTACCTCTGAGGGAATTACCAAGAAGGCTTCATTACTTGGGTTACTTTTTTTATACTCATTATTATCTTTATCATTTCAGGAGCCTTTTAAGGTGAAAGTGTCTTCTGAAGCACTTCTAGTAATGGATTTGGTGAGGATTAAGTTTTGTCTTTCAAAAAGCTATGATGTCTGTGTTGTGGGTTTTTTTTTTTTTAAATGAAGTCTTCTCAGGAAGACTGAGAAATACAGAAATGTTTTCATTCACCTAGAAGTGAGAACCTAGTATTAAATAAAGCCCCTAAAGATGAATACTTTTTATCTTGTGCTTACTGTACAACTATTTACCTTCTAGAAAAATGAATTAGAGTTTTACTGCTTTACTGCTTACTACTCTCTGTCACACTTTAAATCTAATTTGCATAAAGCTACTTTCTGACAGTCTGTCCTTCTGAGATCTATGGCTTCATTTTCTACCAGTCTGGCAATTGATTTTGTTTTTACAAAGCAAAATGTGGGAATTTTTTTAGGAACAACACGTTGTACCAAAATTGTGCAGTTGTTCAGCAGTGCCCAGGCTGCATCTATGGATGTGTTACACCCTTGTACTACATCCCTGGTGTGTTTATAATAAGAAAATTTAATCTTTTCTGTTTGCTATAAATGGAAACAATGGGGTTTTGAGAGGTTTTAGTTGTTTTGAGTTTTCCTTCTAAATGTCACTGAGAAGTTACTGACTTGAGTGCAGGGCAAAACAAAGAGAAATTACACAACTTGGACTTCCATACTTGTTTAATCTCATTTCTTTCATACCTGTTTGATCTTCCAGCACTCTCATGTGTCTCTGGCAGAAGTGATAGGGCTGCTGGGTGGAAGGTACTCTGAAGCTGATAAAATTGTGGAAGTAAGTGTTTGTCTTTTTACATTTTCTCTAAAATATTACAACTGATATGATAATAGATATAATTTGAATAAATGTAACTGTTATTTCTGAAGGGCAACTAATTAAATACATGAAATCTAAGTTAATTACTGCAGTCTTGAAATGTTAGAGTTATGTTCAATTGTGAAGGAGAAAGATCTGGTAAATTATGAGGAAGATCTGGTAAATTATGAGGAAGATCTGGTAAATTATTCTTAAAATTCTGTTAATGAAGCCTTATGTAACTGATGGAGGTTTGTTACATTTATCCATCTGGAGGTTTCTTTACCAGGTGTGTGCAGCAGAGCCCTGCAACAGCCTCAGCACAGGCCTGCAGTGCGAGATGGATCCAGTGTCCCAGACACAGGCCTCGGAAACACTGGCTGCCAGAGGATTCCAGGTCATTGGATGGTACCATTCCCACCCAGCCTTCGATCCCAACCCCTCCATACGAGACATAGACACTCAAGCCAAATACCAGGTACAGCAAAAACATACAAAGAGCAAAAAAGACCCCCAGACCCAAAGCCTCCGTGGTATTTACAGTGGTAGTACATATTATTGCTCCAATTTTAAATCAGCCATAAATGACATAAATGCTGGGTTTTAGATTTCAGCATCCTCTTCTGAAAAAAGGTTGGATTTTTATATGTGAATTTTTTCTGTGGTTTTTTTTGGTTTTTTAGAGCTATTTCTCCCGGGGAGGTGCCATGTTCATCGGAATGATCATAAGCCCTTACAACCGGAATAATCCCCTGCCATATTCCCAGATCACCTGTCTGGTCATTAGTGATGAGATCAGTGCTGATGGTTCCTACCGTAAGTACATCTGGTTTATCCTTTTCCTTTTGGATACTGAGGGGAAAAATGTCTGCTTTTGAACTTGAGAAACAGGTATTTATGTATTTGTGTTGGTAAGGTGATGGTATTGTACAAACGGTATCATTTCTATTGGTAACGTGCTGGACAAACCCAGGAATTTCACTGAAAGAGTGATTCTGAAATTTGTCTCTGCTGTCATGACAAGAATATACAAATATAGATAGACAGAAGATTGTTCTTTTGCGTTAGTGTTTTTCACAATCTGTGGAAGAAGCGAAAGTTTTGGGACAAGAGTCACTGTTATTTACATGCAGAATCCTTACGAACAGCTGAGAAACTGTTTCACATGTACAGCATGGGCTTTACTGCATTGCAACATTCTGAACAGATCCTCTACCCGAGGAAACAGAGGTAAATAGCAAAGAATTGGCTGCTACAGTGGCCAAAAATCCTTAATTTTCGACTAATGTGCCATTCTGAAGGTCAAAGGATCAAATTTGCTAGGAAAGCTGAAAGGGTGTGCTGGCAGGAACCCCAACCTAAGGGGTTTGATTAAAAATGTCATTAGCATTTAATGAAAACGGGATCCTTTCCTTTCTTGAACAGTTAAGAACACACCATATAAAATTCATGGTATTTCCAGTGATGATCAGATCTTCTGCTCTTTCCCTGACATTCGTTTGAGGAAAATTCCCCTGATAACAGAAGATGGTTCTGGTAGCTGCCTGTTCTCTTTCCTCCTCCCTCCCTCTATTTATAAAGTTCTGATTTTTGCATCCCCACTCCAAGGTTTCCAGTTCTCTTGGCACAGCAGTAGCTGAGGCCATGTGAGCCAACAGTTCTCCCTGTTTTTTCCTGTGGAAGTAAGCAGGGGAGACCATCTGCCTGGAGACTCACTGCACAGTCCTGGGGGAAGTGGAGCAGTGGCCACATCTGTGCACTAATTCCTGTTTACCACACTGATTGTCCTGTGATTTTATCCTCATTTCCCACACATCCCGTCCTTGCTGAGGAATTAAATTACTGACAAACTTCATTGCCTTTAGAAGACTTTTTTGTAGTCACTCACTTTTTCTGTCTGAGAGGATTCCATATTTCTGTTTAGCTCCTGAAATCAAAGTTTTACTAAATGGCATCTCCTTGGGCTCTTTGGAAATGACTTACTGAAATTCACACTCTCTTTCTTTCTCCCTGATTTTCTATAACTGAATCGTTAACCTGCAAATAATTTTCTTGCTAAATTCCTCTTCCCCCACCTGCAATAAACCAGAAGATTTTCTTCCTTTCAGAGCCAAATTCCTCTGAAATAGCGAACAATACTCATCAGCAGCCCCTTCAGGCATAAAACCCAAACCTTTTTTTATTCACTTAATAATCACCTAAATCTTAGAGAGATTTGCCATTACAAAAGTGGTACTAAACACTCAATTCATTTTTCTCTTTCTCTGTTTTTTGTAGATTTCTTTGTCCTTCCTTATGGCCTGGGGAATTGGTGAGGGCAGGGAGGAAAACAGATTTGTTCCTACTCCCACCACAATTAAATTTGGAATCCAAAACACGTCATCCTTTTGCTTTAACCTCCTTAATGTTGTCAAGTAACAGAACCACAGGCTTCTGCAGTCAGTAATAAACAGGAACAGTTATGGGGAGGGAAGGGATTGCATCTAAAACTGAGAAGAGAAAGAAAACAGTGGAGTGCACTGGAAACACTGAATGATGATGTTCCATTGACTGCAGGCCTGCCCTACAAATTCGAAGTGCAGCAGATGCTGGAGGAACCTCAGTGGGAATTAGTATTTGAAAAAACAAGGTGGATAATTGAAAAGTACAGATTTTGCCACAGGTATGTGTTTACTGCTGCTACAAACGGCCAGTTAGGAATGGTTGTATGTTTGTTATTGTTTCAGTCAAGACCTGTGGCTCCTTTCTCCAGCATTCCTGTTTGTTTTTTTTCCAACAGCAGCGTCCCCATGGATAAAATTTTTCATAGGGATTCTGACCTGACTTGTTTGCAGAAAGTAAGTTTTCTTTTTAATGTTGAATGTTTTTTTTAAATGCAAATCTGTTTCATGTTAGCAGAGGTCACCTGAAGTTACATTTTTACAAATCAGAGATGGAAATTAATGGCAGTAAATTACTTCTGTGGCAAAACTTACACAGTGAAAATAAGGATCCTCCTTTGAGAGAGGTGGGAATGTGTTATGTGCAGACACCAAGTTTGACCCTCAGTTCGGAGAAGATTTAATGACAAATCACTTGTACACAATAATTGCCCACATTGAATTCTTTTGTTTCCTCTCATGACTTTGCTTATAAACAGTGCAAATCTAAAATTGAGTTGGTAAAACGCTCTGGAATTCAGCTGTTGTGTAGCTGGTTTTAAAAAATTGGATTTAAATCACCTGTGTTTTCCTGTGTCACCGTTCCTTTTAAAGTTGTATTGCACACTTGAACAATTTTTTAGTGTTAATTCTAAATAAAAATCCCTTTGTAATAAAAAATGAAAAAAATTTCAGGAAAAATTTCAGTTTTAACAAAATGTTCTTTTGTTTTGACCAGCTTTTGGAGTGCATGAGGAAGACTTTGGGCAAGGTAACAAACTGCCTCATTGCTGAAGAGTTCTTGACTCAGATAGAAAACTTATTCCTTTCCACATACAAGAGTGAGGAAAAGGGCAATGCTGAAGGAAGTGAGAAGGAATGTTCACACCAATTGCCACTGTGATGGCTTTGGCAAACCAAAGTGATGGAATTTGGATGTTATTTTTTGATTTCTCTCCTCCCTCCTCATTATGTCAACTCTTTCAGAACTGTTACCCACCTCAGTGGTGACTGTTACAGAATCCAGTGTCATCTTATCTTGGTGGTTTAAAGTACTTTGGAAGCTCTTTTTGTGTGTGACCCCAGTGCCCAAGGGAGGCTCAGGCTAACGAGGGACACAGCATTAATTGAGTGACTGCTCTGGGAAAAGGACACCTGTCAGGAATATTGTGCATCCATCTTCAAGGAGAGTTTGTCCTCTCTCAGGTCTTCCAGTTTGGGAATTTCTCTTAATGTTGTCTCCAGGTACCCATCTAACTCAGGATGAATTAATGCTTTAGAGGTTGTAAGTTTGAATGAATTCACAGAAGAGAAACTTAACTGAAATGAGATCTTTGTAGCTCCAACTCTCCTGGTATCGAGCCTGAAGTTTTATTCAGTTGTAGCAAAATACATCACCTGATTTCTTTGCTTTTATTACTGTTTTTCCCCATTCATCCTGATGGTCAAGTAGCTTTTTGGCACATTCTTTGCCATCTTGTTTCTGTATTGGGGAGGAAAAGCTGGCAAGTTTTCCTGACTTCTCAGTAGTGCCTGTGCTTGTTTCCAGTGGAAATGCAACCTTTCTGACCTTCCATTCTATGGGGAGGTTTTACCTTGTTCCCCAGATCCTTGCCATTTGTCCATTTGGAATTGCCACTGTTTCCTGTGGAAACACGAGCTCTGGGTTGATGGCAAACTGGGGGCAAGGAGAGGAAAAGTCTTTGTGTTTGTAAAGAAAAAAATCCCAACTTTTATATTCGGAGTCTTGTCTATAATGTACAGTTTAATAAGAAAACACTGGTTTATATCAGTTTCTCAGTTATGATTTCTTACAGGTGTATATTCAGATAAATCAGTCACAGATTGATCTTGATTGGAGAAGTTTCCTGATTGCAACTTGGAAATGTTTCGTGAGCTGTATCACTGTGACTCTTTATAGAAGAAATGTGTTTTAAATTTTACTTTCTAAAGAAACTTGACTTGTCTACAGGTATTTACACAGGTTTATCTTGGGTGAAGTTTCTCAGAGAGGTCTAAAATGTATTTGAAAACCTTAAACAAGACGTCAAGTTTATATCTAGAGGGGAGAGAGTGGGCTCAATTTTTATTTTAAGAAAAAATATGTGTGTGTATATATCTAGTTCTACATAACATGAATGGAACTTTAAGATTTTATATGTTTCAGCTTTTCATTTATATAGAATTTGAAAAGCTTTAAAATCATAGAGCTGCATCCCAAGGAGGGAAGCCCTTCACAGGAAGTTGATGTTACGGTTTTTACCATGAAATGTCAGACTCTTTCTGTCACTGAGGGGAAGGTGCAGAACCTGATCAAAGGAAAATGGGAGCTCTTGATACTCAGTGATTTTCCCACATTCAAGAGCCGTGGACTCAAAAGTACTGGTGGATGTTCTGTGCTCTCTTCTATGTCCAGATCTGCAGGTGCAGAGCTTTGGGTCCCACTGCTGTGTGTGATTTACCACTGGTGCACCCATCTGTGTCCAGTGTGTTGGCTCAGTCTGCACTTACTCTAAACTGTCCTCTTTGGGACTTCCTCACTCCCAATACTGCATGGATTTCTGTATTCCTAGTTAAACTACACTCTGAGTGGGAAGGCACTCCTGACAGCTCAGCTGTGGGTGCTGTGCAGTGCATGGTGTTGGGTTCAGTTTTCCATAGGTTCTCTAGGAGATCCCCCAGGATCAATGTACACGGACAGCTGTAATTTGTGCTGGTTGGTAGCAGGAGAATTTTGAACCCCTGTGTAGCATCAGTATGAAGTAGATCCTGTTCACTGTCCTCATAGGGTCTATTCCCAGCCCTTTAAGGATGGATTAGGATTACCCAAGCAGTGGTAACTGTGCTGGCTGCTTCTCTCTGTAGTGATTACAATGAATTAAAGTAACACAGTTGTATCAATTGGATTTAACAGAGATGTTATATAAGGAAGTTGTGAGTGACACACACTTTTGAAGTGGTTTGTCTCTGGGAAGAGGACATGGTGCAGGACCGAGCCTTTGGCATGCACAGAGACTGCAAATATTCTGAGTTTATGAGCAGGGTGGTGTGGAGAAAATACAATGCTGGTACCATTGGGATCCAGTCTTGCACACGGAATTGTATGGGAATTGGAAAGAGCACAGTTGTGATGCTGAGTAATGATTTTGTTGGCAGGAGCTGTGGTAAGAAAATAACTAATCTGCTTTTCAGCATTTAGTTGGTCTGAGTGGTTAATAAGGAGAGTTTGGAAGTTACAGGCTTCCCAGGAGGTAAAAATCTGTTTTACTGATGTGCCAGTTCTGCTACCAAACACATATCAGGCATGAAAATTCTTTATTACAAAGCTTTTTTTTCCCCATCCAGGCTTTGTTTCAGTGCACTTGTGAGGACTAATCCACTGTTCCTTTCTGTAGGTCCAGTGTTACACCCTGCCAAGGTGTTGCTCAGGAGATGAGGAATGGTTGAGCAGTGAGTAGAATGATACAGTTAAAACTGAAATTCGAGTTTAAAATAGGAAGAAATAAAATAAAAACAGGCAACCACAAAAAAACCCAAACAACCCCCCAAGATGTCACTTGTGCAAATATCCTTGAAGGGCATTTGTTGGCTGAATTATGTTTTGCTCTCTCAGTTTCCAGCAGTGCTGCTTCACAGGGCACAGATCTTGTGTACAAAGGGGAGGGAACATCTCTATTTTTATGTTTTTAAAATAAGTAATTTTCCAAGAACAATTCAGATGAGGAAAATGAACAAACCCCAAAACCAAACAGAAAGTTAACACTGTTGCCATTGATGTTAAGCACTGTTTTTCCTTTGCTTGCTTCTCTGCTATTCCTGACTGATGATAGAGAAGAGTCTGCTAATAAAGACTGTGTATGCAACGCCCTGAAAGATGTGTCCGTGTTTGTGATGGCTCCTTGCCTCCTGAGCACCAGCTCTGGAATTGCTTTATTCCTAGTCGGTGGCAATAACCAAGTGAGTGAACGACGTCCGGTTCCACCAGAGGGAGCTTTGTCACAGCTCATACAGGAAAGGTTTGGAGCTCAGAGCAAAGCTGTTCTGTCCAGTGCATGTAAACTGCTGGCCAGCGAGGACATCCCGGGGCAGGAGCTGTACCCGGAGGTGGAGTTGTCCCCTTCAGTTGTTCTTACACACCCTCTGCTTTAGTCTCCTTCAGAAATGATCCAGTGGTGCTCATGGCAGGGATGTGGGGATGGAGGCCAGTATTTTCCACACGCGTTTCAGAGAGTCCTGGCTGTAGGATGGATCACTGGGTACACAGTATAAGGGATTTGTTTGCATGGACAACCCCAGTGATCCTGGACATGCCCACAGATGCCTTTCACCAGCCGTGTTCCTACCCCAGATCTGATCCAAGTGTGTTGGTTCCAGCTCCATGAGCCAGGCTGATTCTGCTCTGCTGGAGAAACTGGCTCTGCTGTGCAGTGCTGAGCCCTGAGACGGGGTGTGGAGGGAGAAGAGACACCGTGGAGGTGGACAGTGCACCCCAAAAGTGTGGTGTGGCACAGCTGTGCACCCCAACATCTGCACAGGACTGTGCTCTGCACCCCTGAGGAGGTGAGAGATGGGGGGGGACTTTATCCTCACAGAGCCAGCACATGGGAAGGAGCTGGTGGTTTAACATCTCATAATCATGTTTGATGCTGGACAAAGTATTTAATGGCCCAGATTAAAGCATTGGGGTTGTTTAATTGGAAACGTCTTGCTGTTTTACACAGACCTAGTGCCCTATTTTTATGAGATTTAGAAATGTGCTGAGAAATTGTTTCCATGGAAGCAGAGATCACTAAAGAAATAATGCACATTTCCTACAGGATTATTCCCTTTGCAGCCTGCTGTTCTAAATAATTAACTCTTTTACTGCTATTACAGCTTAGCATGGACTAAAAGAAATAATACTTTTTAGTGTCATAGAAGCATTACATATCTATATAAATATATAGATATTTATATATAGGTATATAGATATTTCTAAAAACTCTTGTCTTTAAACCTGTTCCTTCCTTATTTACAGAGGAGAAAATTCACCTCAGTAAAAAAAACGTCAGTGGAAAAGTGCACTTTTATTCTGAAAAATATTTCACATTTGACATTTGAATAATGTGAAATAAAATAAAGATATGATGATACAGATGACCATTAAATGGATTTTGACTTAGAAGGAGGGATGTGAAATTAAAAAAATAAAAGGCAGATTATTGTAATGTAGGTAAATGAATGACTTAAAAATAGGAAAAGAGTTACTAAACTATTATAGCTACTATAGTTACTAAACTATTATCATCAATATGACAAACTGACTTAACCTGATAATTTTAATAATTTTAGCTATAGATCTCAGTTATTTTTTAAGAAAGGTAACTACTGTTATTTTTATGTGAAGGAATATCCAGGTTGTGTCCTTCTCCGGTGGCAGAGGGGATTTTCATTGTATTTACACCTGGAGCTCTGATTTTACACCTGTTCTGAGTTATAAACACTCTCTGGCAGGCAGGGCCCTTCCCAGGGTTCAGGCAGACCCAATCCATGAGTCCAAGGAGCCCAGCAGGCCTGGACTGGAAGTGGAGCAGCCTCAGGTCACCAGTCCATAGGTGGAAGGAGCTGCCTGCAGGTGGGTGTGAGAGCAGTGCACACACTGCTCTGTGGTCCCAAAATAATGATTTATAAAGAGGCTGACAGGGCCTGACAAATCAGATGAATGGGACTCAATGCAAACCGGAAAATGTGTTTCCACTGCTGCCAAAACACATGGAAATGGTAATTCAGGCTTTGTAGATCATTAAGACACTTGGGAGTTGCTGGAGTGTGTTGTGAAAGGCATTACTCAAAGTTCAGGCTGAAAATTTCTTAGAAAAGAGAAACAACTTTGTAAGGGTAACACAAGCAGGGAAATCAGCATCCCTACTGCTGCCTTGGGATGAGCATGTGCCAGAGGAAAGGGGGGAGAGAAGCTTTCTGTGCTGGAAGATGAGGCTGCGCCCCCGTGCCCTCCAAGCAGGAGAGCAGCCATCAACCTCCTGAATTGGCAGCTGCTCCAGGCAGCAAACATCAAACTCCAAAAGGCTTTAGTTTATAAATCTGTGGAAGTAGAAAGTCCATAAGTGGTAAGAGTTTAGACAGTAGAAGGATAGGGATGCTCTGTGATGAAAGATGCAGGAAAAACCACGACAGAAGTGGAGCAGTAGGATTTCTTCCAACAGAAATGGGAGAACCTCCTTAGACATCCATTTATATGTAGTCCATACAAAGTCTAAAGAAGGAAAAGGGGAAGCTGCTTGTCTTTAATCCATAACAGAAGACCAAAGTAGGAGCTTGTCTTTTGTCTGTTCCCTGTCGTTTGCTCATCAAGGAGGAGGGAGAGGAGGCAGCTGGAGGCAGGTGCCGCTCCCTGAGAAATAGGATTTGGAGCTTTTTTCCTTTCCACAGGAATTTATACAGTGACTGTTCTCAATTATTCTAGTTTAGTAAGAATGAATTTTTTGGTATAAGTGAATTTGGGAGTCAGTTACCTAAATATTTTAAATCAGTCCTACTTTAGAGGGTAAGAAAACTGTTGCAGTTGTCTATTTAATATAACACAGAATGCTTTCACTCCTGCTGCAGGCCTGGCTCAGCTTGCTTAAATACTTAAATACTCTGTGGGGTTCTTACTGAAATTCAAATAATTGCCTCGGCATATTTGGGTTATATTGCTGCTTTTCTGTTGGTAGACTTCTTTAAAAATTTGCTTTGCTTTTTGTTATTGGTAGGTTTTTTTAAGTTTCTGGAACTTTTTTAATCAACAAATAATTTCATAAATATTACTAAATAACCAAATAAGGTTGTGATAAGACACTCCACAGCACCAGAGGTTTTTATACAGAGTCATTTGTTAGGAAACATCCCAGGTGTTGTGTTGCTTCCAAGAGCAGAGATCCCAAGTTCCCGAGTTTGTATTCAGGCAGCACAGTGAGCTATTCCCACTTGTGCTCTTTAATAAGGGTCTGACACTCCTAGTCAGCAAAGATCCCTTGATCCCAATGCAAGTGTAAGTTAACCTTGGTGTTCTGCCCACATTCCAACTCTGGTAATAGCTTTCTGTCTACCTAAATTCCCTGGGCAATTTTAATGGGAGGAGATATTTTTCAGTGTTGTACAGCTTCACAGAAACGCTACACAATGCTCCAGGACAAACTGAAAAAGAGCTTTATTCCAACAGAGCTGTGGGGGGAATTTAAGAGCAGAGAGTAATTACTGAAGTTGGAACTTGGCCAAGGCACTACAACCGGACCCCTTTGCTACCTACTCATCTGCTGCATTCCTCATTCGGGAGGTCATATCCATGAGGAAAGACTTTTTAAAGAAAACAATGCTGGTTGTTAAATGTTGATACACTGGCTGTTCCATTCTCTGTGCTGGGTATGGATGTCTAAATCCCATCTCTCCAACCTGCTTCTGTGCCCACTCCACCCGGACACTGCAGCTGGGTCTGCTCTTCTCTTCCCTGCATTAGTTTCAGTGTTACAAGTTTGGAATTCTAGTAATAATCAGGGAATGTGCTACTACAATTGAATGGCAAACCATTAAGTATGCAGCCCTGGTTCTACTGAATGAATAGGACATCAAGGAAAAAGGGAAAGGTTTTGATTCTGTTCCTGCTGGGTAATATTTTTTGGCTCAGCATAAACTCTTTCCATTTCCTCACTCTTGTTCACTTACCTGTTGAAAACTTCGAGCTTTGGATACACAGAATGGGGCTGATGCATCCCATTTCCCCAAAATAAGCTTTTTATGCAATTGCAGCAGCAGTATTAATACATTCTCAAAGTTTTGGAGCAGGGTCTATAATTTATCAGGTGCCTTATGACAACACATCCCAGCTGGTTGGTTGTCAGTCAGGAATATTCACTTGTACTCATAGAAGATGAAGTGAGAATTTTCCCATGTCATAAGAAAATACAGAACTTAGCCTGACTCCACAAAGTTTTGCAATCAGCCATTTATAAAACAGATTAAATTAAAAATCTAGAGCTGAGCAGCCCTCAGTGCTGAAGAAATGTGGGATGAGAATAAAAAGTTTTGGAGTGCATTGCTTAACCATTTCTTAACTTATGCAGAGCTGATCAAAGCCACGTGTTTGAGAGGCTGGAGCTGTCCTTCCATCAGGGATCATGGGATGTGCAGGGGATCTACTGTGGCTTTCAACAGTCTTTTAAAATCACTGCATCTTTCTCTTTTCTGTCATGAGAAAAGAAATATTAATTTTAAAAGTGAATGATGAGATTTTATATTAGAATATAAACATGTAGGCATAATTTTCATTAGGAGAGGCAAAAGTGACTGATTGTTGAAAACATCATAACAGGTAACAGTGTCTGCATCTTTTTTTGGGTCCTGCTTTTCTCTTTAGAAGCTGAGATTGAGAAGAGAGGCTGTTGTGGTGCCATTCATGTTCTTATTAATCATGAAAGGACTGCCCCATGCAAGCCATGTGTTGTGGTCAGGTATTTCCTTGCTAGTCCTGAGCCTGCTGCTCGGGGACTGGCAATGCACCAGGGTCATTTAATAGGAGGGGGAAGGTGTCTGCAATTAATCATAGAATGGGAAGATTAATTGCAGCACTGAGCTCAGAGAACCTCTCCTTGGACTAGATCATTCTCTTGACTAAGGCTTTGTAAAGCTACTGTAGGATCTGGACTTGAATAAACCAAACAGACCCGTTGCTCCTGCTGAGCACTCACTTCTCTCCTCCTTGTCATGCCACCTCCCACGTGACATCTCTTTTGCTCATGGTAGATGTTGTACTTTACTGTAACAGTCCATCATGTTCAGCCTGTTTGAATTTCTGACCTCTCTTGATGTTCTCATTGAAAAGGAGACAATGAACACCT